CCGTTCAGTTCGGTTCTCAGGATCAGCCTCACCCTTTTCTTGTACGCTTTTCAGCTGCTCTTTTATATTTCGATGGTCGATCGTTGCCCCTCTTTTATACCTATATTTATACGTAGATGTATCTTCTCCTTCTAACTGGAGAAAATCGGACTCGGCATGATTGATGTTAACTTTGCGTGCAGCTTTCCTCTTCTGAATACTGCTTTAGAGCACTTATCTGTTCCAAATTGCATGTGGATATCCTTGATAGATCCTTGTGACGGTTTCCAGCTGCTCCCCATATCAGCTGCCGATTTCCCGATGATTTTCAGGTCATCCATAGAAGATAGGTGGGCTTTGTACCTTTACGTCAATCCTGCTCGCATGGAATTTAGTTCTTCAGAGAGTGGGATAAGGCCTGCAGAACAATAACGGTGATAAAGCATCACCTTGTAGAATGCCTCCCTAATTTAATATTTGGGATGATAAGGAGTCGCTAGCAATTTTCATGTGTGTTGAGGTGTTCCACTGTTTCATCATGATCTGGCATACTTTTACGAGCATCGGGTAAGCTCCAATTGTGCGCAGGCTTTTCAGGATCCACGAGTGTGGGATACTATCGTATGCTTTTCTGTAATCTATCCATGCAACATAAGTTTCGCTTACGTTGTCTACATTCTTGCAGGATGTGTTTAGAGACAATAAGAGCTGATCCTTACATCCTTGTGACCCTTACGACATCCCTTTTGTTCTACGGGAATTATTCTGCAAGCATTTACATATCTCTGGATCCGGTCTGTCAGGATTGATGTGAAATTCTTGTACATGTTGCAGTGTGCAGTGTGTGCGAGTTCGAATCTCGCCTTCGCCATGGATGTTTGTGTTTGTTTTAGGCAGCAGCGGTGGCCGCAATAGTAGACTCTTCGGTCTCCTGAGAGTCGCCGTGCGCTGTGCGGTTCGAGTCCCGTCCCAGGGGAATTTTTCTCTTGGCTATGGATGTTGATTGTCCGTAGGTGGTAGATGGTCTCTGACTGTCGAACGTGGAGGTACCACCCGGCGGATCTCGTAGGCGGAGCCAGAATGTGTGCATGTTGCATGCACACGTGTTCCCTCGCCAGAGTCTGTGTGGCGTTTCCCCCTTTCCCTGTATCCCCCTATAGCCCCACGGTACCCAATGGGTTGTTTAGGCCTTAGGCCTTCGTGGTAGTTGGAATATAAAAAAAAGAGACACGTGATATATATATATATATATATATATATATATAATTTACTTCTTTAGTGTCATCGTTTTTGGGTATTAGGAAAGTTAAACCAGACGCCTACCACCCAGGGATGTACCTAAACTGAATATGTTGTTATATTCCCGGGCTAGGTGGGCGTGCACTGATGTTAGGTGCTTCAGCAAAAAATTGGGGATTGAGGGATTCTCTTTACATAACGCTGACCTCCTGGTTGGAGCGTTTCAAGGAATGAATTCAAGGTACCCCCCAGAATCCGTGGGACCGACTAAGTGCAGGGTAGGATTCTGAGCCATCGGCTCTACCTACCTGGGGTATCAGTTCCGTCATTTCACCTGACCTTGTAGGTATATCACACCAGAGCCTCGTTAGCCAGCTTCATGCACACTGATGTTCTGTGTGTCGCTGCCCGCTCCATACTTGGAACTAATATTTATTAATTATTATTATTATTTCTTTAAATTTCTCAGCTCTTGATTGTTGGTGGCTGGATTACTTTCTTCAACAAAGAGGGGGTATGCCTTAACCCTTAGATTAGACGTTACGTTAATCTTTCTAATAATGTGGGCTGTACCGAATATGGCCACAGTTTGAAGTTGGTAAGGGTTTAAGGTACCTGAGATTGCTTTTGCATGTGCGTCAAAATTCTTAGATACTGCACCTGTGGAAGCTATTATAATTGGTAGTATGTGCGTACGCATTTGCCACATTCTGTTTATCTCAATAGACAAATCCCGGTACTCTAGAAACTTTTCAGCCTCTTTGTCTTCACGTTGTAATCTGATGATACTGCAACATCAATTATAGTGCATAGCTTATTTTTAAGATCTTTGATAAAGATGTCCGGTTGTTGGCAGCAATTGTTCGGTCTATTATTATAGGCTGATTCCAAAGAATGGTGACATTACTCCCAGTTACAACCTGCTATGGTTCATGCTCATACCAACGCTGTTTAACGTCAATGTCGAAATCTTTGCAGTTCGAATGGTGCAAGATCTTGGCAACTCTGTCATGTCGTGTAACGTATTCGCGCTGAGCGAGGATAGCGCATGAAGACTACGTGAGATATGGTTTCATCGTTCTCTTTGCATATCCTACGTTTGGGATCGTTGTTTGCTCAAAGTATCTGGTTTGAACGGTAGTTTGGAATTTATGACTTGATCTTGTGCCGCGGTTGAGACTTTCTGCTTCACCCTTTACGTTGCTCGTGAGCCATCTCACTGTGTCTTCTTTGCTGAGATTGTGGTTCTGAAGTATTCGAGTAAGATAATGTCCATGCAGGGCGTTCCCGTGCCATTCTCCCGCAGTGCCGACTGGATACATCTTTTGTGGGTTTACCTTTCTTTTACGCAAGTCTGGCTCTAGGGATTCGGCGTATAGATAACTGGCGACGAAATTTTGTTGCTGTTTGTATAAGGGACTTAGTTACTGGCAGAGAGAGATCGTAATTTCGGACAATCATCATTATTTTGTTTGGGCTGTTTTCACAGTAGTCGCTTATACGAGTATTGCTGAATTGTAGGCTGCCTCCACTTGCTAGTCCCCTGCTTCCCCCTTTCCTGGAAAGGTAAAGCCTATCGGTGTCGGCGCGAGGATGTAGCATGCCATACAATGTTAGCAGTTTACGCTTTTCGGTGATTGCTTTTAGTTCTTCCAATTGCCAATCGACTACACAAAACTATAAACAAGTACTGGCATGCAAATTGACCTAGCGCGCGGATCTTATTTCTGCTGTCAGTGACTTTGAGTAGCAGTCTTCTAACGTATTCCTTCTTGACCATCTGTTTGTTTAGGATATGATTTATCCATTCTCCTTCTTCGATACCTGAATATTTATAACGATCAGCATCTTCAATTTGATAGAACTGTGTCTCTTCCATGTGGTTTCTTCCTTTGCAGCTTCCTTTCCTGAATATAGCCGGTGCGCACTTATCCAGCGTAAACTCCAGATGAATATCATCGCTGAATCTTTCACTGTGTTGATTTGTTCTTCTAGATCTGACGCATGTTTTTCCAAGCAGTTTCAGGTATCCCTATAGAGAAGGTGGTTGACTTGGAACCATTTAAAATGTAGCCAGCTCACATTCTATTCAGTTCAGCAGGCAAAGGAAGATGACACACAGAAAAGGAGAGGGACAGAGCGTCCCCTTGGAAGATGCCTCTTCTGATATTAATTTTTGATATGACGATCCAGTATTCTGACCTTTTAGATGAAGCGCGGTATTCCAAGAATCATCATTCGTTGCAAAGCTTAATGATTTTGTCGTACACACCGACAAGTTGCAGACTTTCTAGAATCCAGGAGTGGGGAACTGACTCAAAAGCTTTCTTGTAGTCAATCCAGGCTAAAGTTAGATTTCGTTTACGTCTTCTACAGTCGTCGAAAATATACTTTGAACGCATGAGTTGGTCGTTACATCCCGGATCCTTTACAGCATCCCTTCTGTTCCGGCGGCAGAATGTTGTTTTGCGCATTGGGCATAGATTCTTTAGTAGAGAATTGAAGTAAAATTCTTATAGATTGATGGTAG